TACCCCATTCTCCATGATGTGCTTATTTCACATCGCATGCCTGTATCAAAACATCTCATGTAGCCCATAAATACATATAGCTACTATGTACCCCCCCAAATTTTTTTTAATAAAAAAGTAAATTAAGTTATTGGGATAATGTAGTTTTCTATCTCACGTAGCTATCTTGAATACAAAGACACAGGCCTAGGAGATATAGATAAAGATTTTCAGGACATGTTTTGTAGATTTTATCCGCAACTATAGTATCTTCTCTAGATCCAGACAAGGAGTGTTCGGCTCCAGGCTCCATCAAGGTCTTAGAGAGTTTGCCTCTGGGTCACTACTAGCTATGAGGCCTTCAGGAAGCCATTTCACTCTTCTGAATCCCAGTTTCCTTATCTGTTAAGTGAAGAGGTTGGTCTGCTTGATCTCTAAGGGTTCGCTGGCTTTGACATTCTTGCATCTGGGAAGAGTGACGAAAAATCTGACATTGAATGTTAGTCTGAGGATCAAGCAAAGAGAATATTGCCACTGAAAATGTTGAGTCAATTTTTTATTTTTATTTATTTATTTATTTATTTTTGAGTGCAGTTTTGCAATCTCAGCTCACTGCGAACTCCACCTCCAGGGTTCAAGTGATTCTCCTGCCTCAGCCTCCTGAGTAGCTGGGATTACTGGTGCCGAACACCACATCCAGCTAATTTTTGTATTTTTAGTAGAGGCGGGGTTTCACCATGTTAGCCAGGCTGGTCTCACACTCCTGACCTCAGGTGATCCGCCCACCTTGCCCTCCCAAAGTGCTGTGATTACTTACAGGCATGAGCCACCGTGCCCGGCTGAGTCAATTTTAAATACAGACAATAAACACCTTGTGCTGAGTTAAAAAAAAATTAGATATCTACCTTCAATTAATATGATTTAATTATATTTAGTACTTAATTTAAATGATGAAATATATAACTATGAAAATTATATTTTTGGCCAGGCACCGTGGCTCACACCTGTAATCCCAGCACTTGAGGAGGCCGAGGCGGGCAGATCACTTGAGGTCAGGAGTTCAAGACCAGCCTGGCCAACATGGTGAAACCCCATCTCTACTAAAAATACAAAAATTAGCTGG